TTTCCTGGCACATCCGGTTTTAATGTAAAGGGCGCCTAGAGGGAGAGTCCCACGGTTTCCCGGTTGCAGGAGATTGGCCGACCCCCACAGGACAGGTTACATTGCGGTGCCCCTAAATTGGCTGAAGATTTTATGGGCGCAGAAGGGAAAGGTTCACTGGACCAACTGCGTTGAGTTACTCACGACCTTGGGATAGGCGGAGTGTGGAATAATTGGCCAGAAGAGCAGACCAGTGGGTTAGACTTAATGAGCACGGGAGGACAATGGGTGAGCGGCAGCAGACCCCGTGGCCCTCCATTTAGACGGTGCAGGTTAAGCGCGCGATTGGCCGCGTGGTACAATTCCACCCTGGGCCTTTTAAGTTTAGAGAATGAAGGTGGGAGCCCCGGGACGATTGGGGCAGTTGTCTTCAACCTCCGGGCAATCCAGACCCACTGCCTGCCGTCCTGCCTCCTCGAGCCGCTCGCAGCATCCATGTGATGCCAGCGAGTGCTGCTATGAGGCAGCGATAGGCAAGGGTTTCGCTCGTCCTTCTCCCTCTGACTCTCATAGCGTCCGTGCGATGCCGTGAGTACAGCTACGAGGTACATGGTAGGACGTTTGTGTAACTGGGGGCATAGGCAGAGTTAGGCTAGGCTCTCCTCACGAAATATTCCCCCTCCAGGTAGCGGGTTTTTGTGCCGTTAATAAACTTTAGTTCATTTCTGTGTGTGTGGGTAGAGCCTCGGCGTGGAGTCTGTGATTTGTGTGGGGAGACGGTGTGCATGAGAAGGTGTGCACGGGGCTGCAGGGTTTCGGCGTGGGGCCCGCTTGCTGGCACTCGCGCGCACTTACACAGCGTGTGCATAGTAAAAACAACCTTAACGGCGAGGCGTGCACCCAGAGTCCTGCCGCAGCCATCCCTTTTTCGTTATCATTAGCATTGCTACACAGCGGATTAGGGCCTCGCCACGGCACATTCCAAATCCACTCACTTACATGCTCACTCACCCTCATGCAGAACAAGGGGAGTACATTCCAACTCCACTCACTCACACGCTCACTCACCCTCATGCAGAACAAGGGGAGTACATTCCAACTCCACTCACTGACACGCTCACTCACCCTTATGCAGAACAAGGGGAGTACATTCATACTCCACTCACTCATACGCTCACTCACCCTCATGCAGAACAAGGGGAGTACATTCCAACTCCACTCACTGACACGCTCACTCACCCTTATGCAGAACAAGGGGAGTACATTCATACTCCACTCACTCATACGCTCACTCACCCTCATGCAGAACAAGGGGAGTACATTCCAACTCCACTCACTCACACGCTCACTCACCCTCATGCAGAACAAGGGGAGTACATTCCAACTCCACTCACTCACATGCTCACTCACCCTCATGCAGAACAAGGGGAGTACATTCCAACTCCACTCACACACTCACTCACCCTCATGCAGAACAAGGGGAGTACATTTATACTCCACTCACTCATAAGCTCACTCACCCTCATGCAGAACAAGGGGAGTACATTCCAACTCCACTCACTCACACGCTCACTCACCCTCATGCAGAACAAGGGGAGTACATTCCAACTCCACTCACACGCTCACTCACCCTCATGCAGAACAAGGGGAGTACATGCCAACCCCACCCAAAAAAGCACACGAGTCTGGAATCGATCCCAGACCCATTCTGGTGCACCACTGCCCCCCAATAGAGCGTGATTCAATTATTTCTGTCAATATGTAGCGTTGACTTCGGATGCACCTCATGTAACTCCTGAACCCCGTTAAATCGGTTGCATTGGATTGTTGCAGCCAACTCTCTGGGAACCAGTTCCTTCAACAAAGTGCGGGCTTGCGTGTGGCGGTCTGAGTGTCTGGAGACAACTGGAATTGGACTCTGCGATGCCTGTAATGTGAAGGTTTCTGGTCTTTTTCACAAATGTCCAGCAGGGGCGGATCAAGTTACAACAAGCAATACAATTTTGTTAGGAGTACAAAATAGAAAAAAGTAATGCAAGTCACTAAAAATGTACGAATATAAATATAGAATCTAAGTACAAATTAAATGAGTACATACATGCCTGCCGATGTATCAATACCGAACGCAAGCTAGGGCAAGGTATTAAAGCACCAACAAAACAGTCCCAGACCACACCAAGGCAACACGCAGTCATTTAATTAAATGTTCTGATCTGTGTTCTCACTTTACTGCTTCCTAACTTGTATTCTCCTGCAAGAGATGATGACATTCTAACCTGCAACTTTCATCAGCTAGCTGAGACCAGGCCACTGTGGCTTTGAATGGTGTCCTAGATGGACACCCACTACCGGAGTGGAAAATGTTACAAATGTCAAGCATATGGTCAGCGGGCAGATCACCTCAACGGTAGGTCCTGGTGTCAAGGACATGGGCTCGCATTCGGTGTTCTGTTACTATATAGTCCAGCAGATGTTCCTGCTTGGACCCAGTGTGCATCCATGATGCTGTGTGGATGCGCCGATGCCGGAACAGCGTGTTGGTAAGCCCAATGTGCTGCATAGAAGTTTAGCAGCCTCCTACCGTTGTTATTGAGCTGTTCTGACCGATGCCTTCCAATCACTCTGGCCCAGGTGCCAGTGTCATGACCTACTCAGGCATTAAAGTCACCCGACAGGATGACTCCATCCCAAGGGGCGACTTTAGCTAGTACTTGTGACAGGTCATAGAAGGCATCTGACTCACCGGCCTTGCCACCATCCCTCCACTGGTGTTAATACCATTACCATTCCTCGCATTTTGTTTATGGGAAGGCCAGACCATAGAAGCCTGGGACTTACAGTTTCCTAAACCTCAGCGCCATGCTCCCACACCTGTTGTATATATGCCTCTTCCAAAAAAATGTTATTGTGTAATTTTGTCTATTTTTTACATCATGGCTCCTTGGAGACAAATATGCGTTCCCTGCATGCTGAAGCTTGGGAAAACCAGATGACGAAGCCAAAATAGCACTAAAATGAGAAACGGGTAAACAATACAAGAGACATTGATCAGATGGGCATGATGAGAATAACCAGAGCTGAGGAGGGCCTTAAAGTCGTCAAATATTTCGCTTCTCAGGAATACACCTAACTCATGTAGCAAAAGGTGAAACGTTAATGAAAGGCCATAAAGGAATAACTCTTCCATGGGCAAGGAGTGACTCAGGGAATTTCTGAGAGAGCAAGGGAGGACCCATGGCAAAACACCATAAACTCACTGCACCCGAGGGCAAACACAGGACAAAGAGACGAGAATGTCCCTTGCTGTTTCACTCTCTGAATTAACAAACCCGAGTGCCTGGAAAGTTGAAACGTAAAATTGCCAACCGCTGCAAATGCATATTGTTAAACGTCATGATTTTAAATGTTAACTTTTGTGAAAGGATATATTGTTACATGACAATACAGAAGGTTTTGAATACGACTAGTTGCATGTTTTATTAACATCCACTTATCAATATGTAATCAGCGTCTCCGACATGGGTTAAAACTTCAGTTGTATTTATTCTCAAGTTGCAGTACAGCAGGTGTCTCCCTTCGCGGCTGGCTTCTCTCTTGCTCTCGGGACGGCGGCGCACGCTTTGCCTCCCGCCGCCATGGCACTCGCTCTTTCTCCGCCTCGCCGCTGGCTGACGGCGTGTCGGAGAGAGGGGAGGCTCAGCTGGTGGAGCCCGCCACGTGGCCGATGGGTGGTAGCGCAGGTGGTGACGACGTTCGGACCCGGGCTCTTCACACCGACGACCCAGAGTCCTCTGCTGCTTCTGCTTATATCCCTCTCGGCGGTGCTAAGCTCCGCCTCTAGCCACGCCCCTCTCGGAACATTTTAGAGGGCTCTCGAGGCTTCCCGCTAGCTCTACCCATTTACCTTTCACCCAGATGGGATCCCCCTTACTGATTGGATGTGAGACAACATAGCACGTGTCTGCAATAACCCCCCGGTCGTCCTGTAGGTGGCGCACTCTCATTACAAATACATAAGTGCCATGATATCTGGGTTAAGCATATAAACTTGTTAACGATTTATGGAAGTTTTGTATTGAAGTATTCTACCAAAGGATCATCCCTAAGATAAACACGTACAAATTACATATATTATCCACTCTCACTCACTCTTCTCCTCACCATCCTCCTGTCACTCACCCTTCTCCTGTCACTCTTCTCCTGTCACTCACCCTTCTCCTCACTCTCACCATTCTCACTGTCACCCTTCTCACTCTCACTCACCCTTCTCCTCACTCTCACTCACCCTTCTCCTCACTCTCACCATTCTCAATCACCCTTCTCCTCACTCACTCTCACCCTTCTCCTCACTCTCACTCACCCTTCTCCTGTCACCTGTCTCCTCACCCATCTCCCTCAGGGCAGCAGCGGCCCGAGCACGGCTCTGCCTCAGGGCAGCATCGGGGGGCGTACATGTTTGGGAGGGGCTCATCTCTGCTTGGATGGTTGCTCGCGGTCACGTGACACACTTAAACCAATCCGGGGGCGTACATGTTTGGGGGGGGCGCACCTCTGGTTGGCTGCTTGCTCGGGGTCACGTGACGCACTTAAACCAATCCGGAGGCGTTAATCACAGTCACAGAATGACAGGACAGATCTGTGATATTATATATGTAGATAAAGAATAGTAATAGCATTTTGCTGTATATGTTTAAAACTGGTTTGCAAGATTGATAATACGTGATAATGATGATTTCTGCTGAATAATCCATCGTGAAACTATCTAATGCAACAATTCAGAAATGTCAACTCCATGTATTGTTTAGGAATACATTAACATGGCTTTATAATTTAAAATGAGTTGTATGTATCAACAGCTGGTGTTGTTACATATTCAAATACACAACTATATACATTTGGATGTATAAATATATTCCTACTGAATCTATTATAATGTTTAATGTGAGTCTTTACTAGCTCATTTGGCCCAAAACACACCTGTCATTCAAATTATCACTCAAATTAAAAGTTTAATATCGTATGTACATTTTTTTTTATCACCACAGGATTTACTTTTTAAAATCCTGCCACCATCCTCTGGGATTTGACTATCCTCCGTGGACACGAGTCATGAAAACAATAAGCTCATTAGAGACTGGTAGAACATGCACACTGAACATTTATTTAAATCAATTTGTGCCACATTTTAAATGTTTTAACCTGAAAACATTTCGAGTGGTACTCCCAAAAGCAATAGAAATAATTAGGATTGGTTTAAAATAAACCAATGTTAACTTCCCTAGCTTCCATAAGACATACCAATACAAACCCTATTGTGCCCTGGTGGATTAAAATGCAGAAAAAAATTGAAGATAACAAATTTTAACTGTAAACGCAATCATAAGATTAGCAAATAAATATGTCCCATACATTGACCACATTCGCAAACGGAAAACTCACAAACACCGGTGTTTAACTTAAATTGCAAGACCGCAAAAAACGCAAGACGACAATCAACGCCGCCGCCGCCACCGCCGCCCGTTGTGCCTACTCATTCCAGAAGACCCTGTTGAGGACCTTGTTGACATTTCTGATCAGAGTGGCATTGTATCTCCACAGCGTGAGGTCCACGACCAGCGAGTCGAGCGGCAGGTCGGGCTGCTTGGGCGATCGGTAGTGGTGCGTGATCGCGATGTCTCCGGGCACCGTCTGCGAGATGCCCAGCGCGTTGAGCGTACTGTGCACCGACGTCTGCAGCACCGCGCGTGGGTTCAGGATCATCTTGGTCGGGTTGAAGACCTCCGGCAGGTTTGGCTCCCGTCTAATGTGGCGCATGATGTTGACGCCCGGGATGGCGTTCCACGCCTGGAACTTCGACCCAAACTCTTCCGATACCGTGTAGGGAAACACGTGGTTTTCGAATGTGTAAATGTCGGCGCCGTACTTGTCGTTCAAGTACCGCATGAGGTCCTTCCAGTTTGTGTGCTTCAAAGGGATGATCACTTCGTCGATGTCCGTGAGGACCAGGTAGCGCGTGCTGTACATGTGCCGATACACGCAGTCGTTCAGCGCCGCTATCTGGCCATAGTAGTGCAGCTCGCCTGGGTGCTCGGGGTAGTGCCACCCTCTGGACACCCACACGTAGTCCGTGATGGGCCACTGAACGACCTCGACGAGGCCGGTCTTGATGTAGTAGAGGAGCACTTTGTTCAGCTCAGAGCTGCAGCTTGTGTTGTATACCGTCACGCGGCCCGCACCCAAGATGCGGTACATTTCGATCGCCTGCACGAACTGCAGGACGTTGCCGTAGTTCCCGAAGAGCGTGGAGATGCAGACGCTGAATTCCTGTGTGAAGGTGGGGGGCATGTAGAGCCGATTTCGCACGGGCATGAAGACCCACTCGGCCTCCTCCTCGTCCGGTATTGTGCGCATGCGCTGGACGGACACGTGTCCCGGCTCGCAGTCCAGCGGCTCCGTGCACAGGAAGTCGGCCGTGCCGTACGGGAAGTCAAAGTGATCCGAGTGGACGTAGGCGCTGGCGGTGACCGTCAGGATCTCCGAGTGCCCTCGGCAGCAGAAGTGGCAGGAGAGCACGTCCGGCTCATACCGGTTGGCGATGCCGATGATGCGTGTGCTCTGACCGGCCTCGCGCTGGTCGTGGTACGCCGACACCAAGAATATCTTGGTGTCGCGCACGCGCATCATCGACGTGTTCTGCAGCGCTCCCCGTTGCCCGCACAGTGTCACGTGGTTGATCTTATCGGAAGCAGACCCCGGCTTTGGCCTGAAGACGGACGAGTTGCCGAGTGCATCGAGGTCGCGAACGAGGAAGCCCGTCCAGCTGTACATGTACCAGATGCTCAGCAGCAATGAGACGCTGAGCAGCAGCAGCGAGAGGAACAGGACCGGGAGGCGTAGCTTCATCATCTTTCGAGGCGTGCAAGGAGACAAGACGTCTGGATCAAATCTCTAGACCGCCGTCTCAGGACGAAAAGTCTGATATCGCTCGGCCTGTGATTACATTTACGTAAAAACACACACACAGAGAGCTTCGCGTTAAAAATGCACAACACTTTACACAATTCCATTTCAGGTAAACCTCACAGAAAAACAAAAGCTCTCCAAAATCAAAAGACTGTATTGGCCTCAGGGCGGATATGTACAGGTACAACTCTCTGCAAGTGAATGCAATATTTGACGCTTGTGTTGCGCCCGAAACGTCGTGATTTAATTTAGTTTTTATTTTTGTTTTATTTTATTTTTACATACGTGACTTTACCGAAAGAACCAAAGAGTAACCATACGATAACCTGGATATAAGCATGCGTTAAATGTATTGCTAAACAATACGCTCCCAGCAGCACTGATCCTGCAGCTGTCAGAACGGTGAAATTGTTTTTTATTTCTCTCAATTTCAACAGATGATCTAAATAGTCGTGGCCAATAATAATTCGTTTTACGCAAACATCAACATATTTCTTTGGTGTTATTTTAGTCTTAATACTGGCCAATACTAATTATAAAATCTATTGAAATTGAGAGAAATACAAAATATTGTCAACCAATTACACAGCCACCACCACAACCAGAGCCGCAACCACCACCACCACCACAGCCACCACCACCACAACCAGAGCCACCACCACCACAGCCACTACAACCACCACCACCACAGCCACAACCACCACAGCCACCACCACAGCCACCACAACCACCACCACCACAGCCACCACCACAGCCACCACCACCACCATAGCCACCACCACAGCCACCACAACCACCACCACCACAGCCACCACAGCCACCACCACAACCACCACAGCCACCACCACAGCCACCACAACCACCACCACCACAGCCACCACCACAGCCACCACAACCACCACCATAGCCACCACAACCACCACCACCACAACCAGAGCCACAACCACCACCACCACAACCACCACCATAGCCACCACAACCACCACCATAGCCACCACCACCACCACAACCACTACAACCACCACTACGACAACCACCACCATAGCCACCACTACCACCACCACAGCCACCACCACAACCACCACCATAGCCACCACAACCACAACTACCACCACCACAACCACCACCATAGCCAGCACTAACACGACCCCAGGCCGCCACCACCGCACCTGCCAGTCGAGGGCGCTGTGCTCCTCCTGCTGCTGTTCCTCTCCGTAGAAGCGCCGCTTCGCGTCGCCCTTCGGCTCGCACGCGAAGCTCAATGCAGCCCGCGGGCACCGGCGGCAGCAGCAGCACAGAGGGCAGCAGCAGTAGCAGAGGGCAGCAGTAGCAGAGGGCAGCAGTAGCAACAGAGGGCAGCAGTACAGAGGGCAGCAGCAGCAGAGGGCAGCAGTAGCAGAGGGCAGCAGCAGCAGCACAGAGGGCAGCAGCAGCAGAGGGCAGCAGTAGCAGAGGGCAGCAGTAGCAACAGAGGGCAGCAGCACAGAGGGCAGCAGCAGCAGAGGGCAGCAGCAGTAGCAGCAGAGGGCAGCAGCAGTAGCAGCAGCAGAGGGCAGCAGCAACAGAGGGCAGCAGCAGCAGAGGGCAGCAGCAGCAGCAGAGGGCAGCAGCAGTAGCAGAGGGCAGCAGCAGAGGGAAGGGCCGTACCCGATTCAAGAGCTGAATGGCTCACAGGGTTATACCAAATACATGGAACTGAACTGGGCCGCGTTGCCGCCAGCACCACGTGCTTCCTGCTGACCTCTGACCCCGCCGCGCGCTTCCTGCTGACCTCTGACCCCGCCGCGCGCTTCCTGCCGACCTCTGACCCCGCACTTGAACCACGACCCCGCCGATCTATGGCTGATTGTGTTAAGTTATATAAAACATATAAATATACCATATACACTTCGTATTCACAATGTACAGCTAAAGTTGACAGTGTAAATGTATTACAATATTCTTGGTTCTTTGCGGTAAAGTCAGGAAGATAGAAAATAAAAATAATAAAATAACATTTTCAAATAAAAATAATAAATTGAACATTAAAAATAATAAAATCATAAAAGCGATGGTTTCTGCCTGTAAATTTTGCGTGCAAACAGTTGCTAAGTAGAGGCCCAACACGCGAGGCGGCCAGGCACAAACAGCACTCTGATGGGAGCTGTGGTTGATGGGAGTGGAACGCGGTTCTTGATCTGAGCCAGAGTCATGATTTGTTGTACGTGCACGTGTGACATTCAAGGCAGGGGTAAGCCTGTGGTCACAATCCTGCCTTGTGCTCAAAATGTCAATGAGCCAGCAACAAACAGTGCAAAAGAGAAGCGTCAACACACTTCCTGCAATAAGCAAGGTAATAAGAACTTAAGAAAAGTGACGAGGGGTATTTTATGTTTATATTTGGTGTTTGCAGTTTCTCCCCGTGGTCCGGATTTCCCTCCGCATTTTTGAAACATGCATTTGGAATATTTGGCTGCTATAAATGTCCACCACACACAACATAAGCACACTTCGCTGAGCTATAATGTGTGGCCAGGTTGCTCGCTTCTGACAAAAATATCTGCCTGTGTGTAGCTCAGTGGGACCTTTCCTGGTGAAATGAAAAATAGTTCAGAGTTTAGTTTTTTGTTTATTTCAAAGTCGAGCAGTGGGAGGAAAGAAGGAGAGAAAGAGAGGACTGCAAAAATTGGCTGACTGTGATGACTTGTGGGGCTCAACATAAAAAATCGTGTTCTTGGTGACAGAACGCCTCGAGGGCGTGTGACCAATTTTCTCGGAATGCACCAGGTCATCAAAACACTCAGAAGCTAAGCAGGTTTGAGCCCGGCTAGTGCATGGATGAGTAACCACCGTGTACAAGAGGGCAGGGGCAATGCGGTGTGGTAGGAGAAGGCAGTACAGGAAAGTTCATTGTTGTAGCGTTCTTCTACGCTCCCACTTCATACGCACCTCCATTCTCACCAACCCGCACTGACCGGCGCGATGAAATGTGTTCAAATAACGCACACGGACTGCTCGGCATGGGGAGGCATTCATCCCGCAGTTGATCGACGTAAAAGAACAGCGGATTAACATGATGGGGGCAGAGAGAGAGAGAGAGAAGTTGGTGTTGGAAAAAATGTTTCAGAGTAAAGCCTGAAGTGAGCACCACAGTGTGTTGAGGAGCACACTACCTGCCACTGCTGACGTAAACATTCCATTTCTAACCACAGCGGGACCGCCAAGTCCATTGGAGAGATTGCTGAGATTTGCTTTCATAGACGTTCTTCAGCTCCTCAAACGTGACTAAAACAACGGTCTCTTAGAGATGATGCACTGATTCATGTTGAATTATTAACCTCACGATGCATCATCGTGTGTGCGTGCACATGTAAGAATAATATTTGTTTTGGTGAAATCGTATACGTATGTTGCATGTCATGGGATCGTGTAACCCTCGCAGCAGCCACTAGTGGCCGATACATTCACCGCAATTTTATATATAAAAGAAGAATGGATTATTTAATCAATTCGCGACCCTGAATTGTGACAATTCATTGAATTTGCCTGGTGAGTTGGGATGGGGGCAGAGGGTTGGGGGATACACCACGGAATAAATGTTTGCTTTCTAACCTTAGGCCTTCACCCAGCAGTGGATCGATCATAGCTGCTGATGACGGTGTAGTAAATGTGGCTTTGGGAAGTACGACAAGGACTCAACAGTACCGTGGAACTTGTGCTGTGTAAGACATTACATTCATAATCATTGTAAACATCCTGCATGTGTATTCCGTGTATACATGGTACTGTGTTTGCGCGCACACATCGTGTACGTGGCGACATGGACACCGTGGAATATTGAGGAGAGTTGTAAATAAAGCGGTGTTCGAAGAAAGACAAAAGTTGTCCGAGTGAAATCGAACGCTACATATCTACCCGATCCAAATTCACATTGGTCCGGTGGATCTTTGCACCGCTTACCATATATACGCGTAAACATATACAAAGCATTTACAAAAAAATATTGAAGGTACAATTCACGCACGCGTAAATATGCACATGGAAATAAAATGGTCCGCACCTAGAGAATAAAATGTTTCTTGCCAAAATAATCCTGCGGACCCACCCGAAGTGAGACCTGGGCTGGAGGGCCCACCGTGGGCTCCCTGGATGCGCTGAATGGAGCTCTCCTGCGCGTCTCACTTCATTTTGATTCATTCTTGCTCCAAAGGTTTCATTGACTTGCGACGGACGCCTTTTAAGGGACGTACGAAAGGCGTGCCCGTTGTGTAGATCAGGAAGCCGATTCACTGGAGGAGCGGCGCTTGACGTCACCTTGCGGGTGCCCCTTTCTCTGACGCGGGGCCACGCGCCACGCGTTGCCGTGACGTCGATAACACAAACGGCGTGAAATAAGGGAAAACAACAGCAAAGGTGGCAAACAAAATAAACGTTCTGATATTTTAATGTGACCATCACTAAGGGATTCGGGTACGACGGTGTTTCACCTTATTAGTTGGCTGTGTCGGGTGGTAGTGGGTTTAACGACACATTTTAATATTTACGCGATCTAAACCACACACCTCTGTTATGGATGAACTGCTTCGTTTTGCAAGTCGTCAGACTGGACGAAACGTTTGCGTTTCGTCCAGTCTGACAGGGTGACTGTAGCTGTGACACACAGCTACAGTTACCCTGTGTGACACACAGCTACAGTCACCCTGTGTGACACACAGCTACAGTCACGTGACACACAGTTACAGTCACCCTGTGTGACACACAGCTACAGTCACGTGACACACAGCTACAGTCACCCTGTGTCACACTGCTAGTCACCCTGTGTGTCACACTGCTACAGTCACCCTGTGTGAATTGTCTTGCAATTAACGTCAAGCTGCAAACGTTTCGTCCACTCTGACGACTTGCAAAACGATGCAGTTCATCCATAACAGAGGTGTGTGGGTTAGATCGCGTAAATATCTAAATGTCGTTGAACCCGCCACCACCCGACACAGCCAACAAGTAAGGTAAAACACCGTCGTACACGAATCCTTTAGTGATGGTCACATTAAAATAATATCAGAACGTTTATTTTGTTTGCCACCTTTGCTGTTGTTTTCCATTATTTCACGCCGTGTGTTATCGACGTCACGGCAATGCATGGCGTGTGGCCCCGCGTCAGAGAAAGGGGCACCCGCAAGGTGACGTCAAGCGCCGCTCCTCCAGTGAATCGGCTTCCTGATCTACACAACGGGCACGCCTTTCGTACGTCCCTTAAAAGGCGTCCGTCACAAGGCAATGATACCTTTGGAGCAAGAATTCATCAAAATGAAGTGAGACGCGCAGGAGAGCTCCAATCAGCGCATCCAGGGAGCCCACGGTGGGCCCTCCAGCCCAGGTCTCACTTCGGGTGGGTCCGCAGGATTATTTTGGCAATAAACATTTTATTCTCTAGGTGCGGACCATTTTATTTACATGTGTATATTTACGCGTGTAGGGTGCGAAAGAAGATTCAATGTAACATGGGGGACTCACAGACGACCCGTAGACTCATAGATTCACCCATAAACTCACAACAGACACCCACACACAACAGACACCCACACACAACAGACACCCACACACAACAGACACCCATGGGTGAGTCTATGAGTCTACGGGTCGTCTGTGAGTCCCCCATGTCACGTCGAAACTTCTTTCGCACCCTAAAGCCGAGTGTGCGGTGCAACATCGGGGAGGTGATGGGGATTCGCCTCCCCGTGGAGAGGCAACAGGCGGAGTCCACGCCTCGTTGCCATGTCGTCATCTCCCGGCGAGCCAGGGGGGGTCGCGTGGCTCATCGTCGATTGACGCCCACCGTGAAGGGAGTTGGCACAGCATCGTTTGTGGGGGCAGACGCCCACCTCCCCACTCCCCGTGAGCAGGCAGGGCGCGACATCCACCCCCTCAACTCCCCCCTCCTCCTCCTCGTTGGCCACCTCTCGCCGGGCCCCCGCCGATCGAGTGATCACCCCCCCCCCCGCACCAGCTCCAAGGGACATCTCTACACGGCCGGCTCACCGCCGCCGGTGTTCTCCCGCGCACGCCGAGCGCTAAACAAAGAAATCGGCTGCTGCTGTGTCAGTAACACGCGCGCATCTCCTGGGATTAAGGCCTAATCCGCGTGCCCGCAATGCTAACTGAAAATAACTGGCGGCAGTATGAATATGTAGTGGAGTAGGAAGGTGTGTAGTGCAAACAGCGTGATTACATGATAACACAGACAGTACGGGTTATGTTGGGTCAGCCTGTAGCGAAGGCAAATACAGTGCAGGTTATGTTAGGGCAATTAAGCTGGGAGAGCCAAGGATGGCTGTGATTGGCTGGAGCTGTTGTTAAGGCTAGAGTGGCGCCTAAAGGTCTGGGTAAGAAACAGGTGCGAACGACGCAGAGCGTCGTTGGGGCACGGACTAATTAATTGGGGAGTAATGAGAGCGGGGATAAATTGGGAAGTCGGGAATTGGAGCGAGGTTGTTGAAGTTGGAGAGCTTGGAGTCAGCAGCGGGGAATTGAAGGGTAGAGAACTTGGCGACAGAGTTGGAGGGACAGAGTTGGAGAGACAGAGTTGGAGACGGAGCTGGGAAACAGCGTAGCGATAGCGGAGCTGAAGAAGAGAAGCAGCCAGCAGTGGCGAGAGCGTAGCGATAGCGGAGCTGAACAGAGACGAAGCAGTTAGCAGTGGAGAGAGCATAGTGACGGTGATAGCGGAGAGCGGAGACGAAGAAGTTAGCGGCGGAGTAAGCGCAATAATCGTGGGGAGTGGAGAGACAAAGGTGGCGAGCGAGTCGAGTGAAGCACGGCGAGCGAGCCGTGGCGACATGGATACTGTGAAATATTGAGGGCATGTGGAGAGTTGTAAATAAAGCGGTGTTCGAAGAAAGACAAAAGTTGTCCGAGTGAAATCGAACACTACAAATATGCACACCCCCCCCCCCACCGTGGATAAGCCTTAATCCGCTGTGCACAGGTGCTAATGCAAGCGGGAAAGGAACGGCTGGGACCAGGCTATGGGGCAACGCCTCACCGTTAACGTGAATGCTACTGTGCGAACGCGCTGCGTTAAGCGCGCTGTGCAACAACACGCACGCGAGCACGGCCGCTCCGTGTGCTGCAGTACACGGAGCGCCTCACGCGCACCGCGCTCAAATCACTCGCACGGCGCTGCAGATGCGCGTCTCACACACCACGCCGAAACCCTCACGTAAACCGTAGCGGGTCGTAGAGATGGCGATCTACGCGCACAGCGGTGGAGTGGATTTAGCGCACCCCGAACCCCACCTTAATCGCTCACGCTGCGCTGCAGACGCGCGTCTTCTACACACACACACACACCGCGCGATACCCCGTGTAACCAGTTGCGGTCGTATAGACGTTAATAGATGTGTAGTGATGGTAGCGTCACTACTGCGTACACACGCACACGTGTGACGTCACTATGCGGGGGAGCGTCACTACTACGCCGGTCTACACACACACACATGACGTCATCCCGGCTGGAGGCGGGAATGACGTCAGGGCCGGTTCTGGACTCGGGAGGCCACGAGGGTGGTGTGAGGTCGTGGCCCTCTCTGTGACCCCGGCTGGACACGTGACTGGACCCCAGTGGGGGCCGGGGGCCTAGGGGGCACCTTGGGGGGCATGTGGACAGCAGGGGGGGGGGGGCTTCGAGAGGGTTCTCGAAGGGAGGCGTGGCCGGGGCGGAGCCCGGGCACGCCGAGGCCCATATAAGCAGCCTCCTCACGAGCTTCGAGGCTGCCCGTATCAAGAATAAAGATGCATCGTGAAGACGCCAAGAAGAGATCCGTGTGTAGGTCCCAGCCGGAGGACTCTAGGATAGCGGTAGACGTGTTGTAAGTCCCGCCAAGACAGGAGGCTGTACCTCCCTAGGGTATCTGAGAAGTGTGTGTTAGCTAGAGTAAGTCGGTGGTCACCACCCTATGCGTAATGTAAGAGCTAACTGTTTGTGTTCATTAATAAATAAGTGTTGCCTCCCAAGAAGTTGTGTGTGCACCTAATTCGAATCCACTACAGATGCGCACCTCACACACCAACCCCGCGCCGACACCCTGCAGCCCCGCGCTCGCTCTCTCACGCACCCCGCCCCCCGCACGCAGTCGCTCCACTCAAAAATCACAGATACCACGCCGAAGTTCGCCCACACGCGCACGCAGAAATCGCACCGCACCGATCTTCTGAACTGAAGTTTATTAATGACGCGTCTAAAGAAAACCCTGTGCGGCCCTGTAGTAAATATTCCACGAGCAGCGTGTAGCCTATCCCTATTCAATCCCTGGGTGTACCCCCCACACTCTACTTCTCAACTCGCAGATGCACTCACGGTGTCGCACGGAAGCTGCGGGAGTCGGAGGGACGATGATCCAAGAGGTCTCCGCCTGGGGTAGAGTCGTAGCGGCGCTCGCCAGCGTCCCTCGGACGCCGCGAGCGGCCGGGAGTCAGACTGGGGTGGCTGGATGGCTGGAGAACCACCTGAACGTTTTTTCACCTCCCTCCCTTTGACGCCCTGGGAATCCGAAGATCCAGGGTCACGTGGTGTTATCCTGCGCAGACCAATCGAGCGCCTACATTTTGATTTTAAACCGATGTTCCCGCCCTTACCTGGAGCGTGACTTTCCGTTGCGCCTTGACCCATTGTCTACGCACCCCTCCTCCCCACCCCCTCCTCCCCACCCGGTCCTCCCTACCCGGTCCTCCCCACCCCGCGGCGTGGCTAGGAACTTCCCTCCCACCTCCACGTCTGCGCTGCCAGCGGAGTGTTCTGCCCTCGAGGCCCCATCTCCCGTGTTGCGTGCGCTTCATTGCGGCCAGTCTGTAAAGCACTATGCGCTCCTGCGACTTTTTAAAGCTGATTTTAGGGGGGGCCGCCGTGTAATCCGGCCTGGGGGGGGGGGGGTCAGCCAATCTCCTGGCAATGGGAAACCGGGGGACATCCCTGCTAGGGGCCCTTCGGATGAAAGCCCGTGGGCCAGGCCTCCCCCTTCGAGACCCTACGTGAGTGTGTGTGTGTGTTTAGTGGGAGTGTGCGTACGTTCGTGTGGAGGGGTGCGAGGGGATGGTGGCGCCTGCGGAGTTGCTCCGTTGCTGTGGCACCACGGTATCTATGGAATCGATAGTCATATCTATTGACTATAGTATTATCAGCTGACTATAGCAGTGTCTGCTTACTCTATAACAGTATTTAATTACTCTAAAGTAGCATCTACTCTGCAGCAGTATCTACCGACTCAACAGTAGTATATACCGACTCTATTGCAGTTAACTTCTTACTCAGAGTACCGTGGTGAGGCCTAGTCTCGTGCAGAGCCCCCGGCCTCGCCTAGATTGCCCAGCCGGCCGAGGTGGCACCTTGGCAGGCTGGGGCTGGGCTGCCACATCACGCTGCATAACATACCAAGCACAGATTCAATTTTCAAAATCGGCCCTCAAGCTGGAACAGATGCCTCAATTTATTGAAATGCACTTTACTTTTTTCAAATACAGCAACCCCCCCCCCCTCCCACCATCCCCGATCCTGTTAAAGCCATGCATTGTACTACATTACGGACAAAGTTTACAGGAATCTAAAGCAATGCAGTAAAAATTCAACGAAGCAATGTTGTAAAGCTAACAGTTGGCCAACTTAATTATTTGCCGGCCATTTCACCACAGCGAATGCACCGATATAAATTCTGCAACATTTAATGCTGCCTTGTGAAATACAAACAAAACTCAATTAAATTGTCATGTCCATGCTCATTACAGCTTAAGACCGGTCGCACAAAATAACCAATTTTAGGAGACAATTAAAGCTTTAAAGTTAAGTCCGACTTTACAGAAATGTTTTACCACACCCATTAGACTAAAGTTTAAAACTATACTTACAATTATAAATGTGTAAAGTGTTCAACTAAACGAGGTGTGTATCTTATTTACACACCATAGACATTAAAAGAATCGCATATCAATTAACACAACCCACATACAGTCCTTGCACTACCCCTCTACGTAACGTTTCTTCAGACCCAACAAATTTTAACTTTTTAAATCAAGCAAACCCCCAATATATGTACACTCTGGGAGGAAGTTCTCTGCAACCTGCAACAACAAAAGCAAGCATTGCCGACATCAAGAAGCAAAACCAACAGATCATCGTCGACCCCACAAAGGGCTCCATTCTCATTTGGAGAATTTGGTTTGCGTGGTCCCGATTTAGGCCAAGATTTGGTGACAAGGTGCCTCTCCAAACCATCCAATTCCCTTCGTCAATCTCTAAAATTGGGCACGAGAGCGTTGCCAACCAACTCCATTTGAAAGAAACTACTCTACATTTGTATTTTACCAGGTAAGGCCCACGGAGCTATGCAGCGCTCTTTCCGGAGAGACATGGCCACTGTTCTGCCCCACGGCAGATATGGGGCTGTGTTTACACAGGAACTTCCTGATATGATGGTGTCGAGTTTGGTCACGTGACCTGGAAGTGACGCGTTAAGGGTCTCGAAGCGACGAGGCAAGGCAGGGGTGTCAGTCATTACAAAGAGTACAAAATGGAGGCACAATTAGCATCTCAGCGAAGACGGGAGCATCTGCTCATTGTGGGACTTTAAGAATCATTGTCTGCAAGTTAGTTTATCTCCATATATATAAAAGGCAAAGTTGTGAATGTGTGCCTGTTCAAAATGTTTAGCGTACTTCCCGACTTGCAACCAACTGGAAATTGGCCATGTGGGTACTTACCAGACTGTACACCACGCAAAAATGATAAAAAATACACTTTTTTTTAGGGGGGGGGGGCGGGGAGCTCAATAATGTATAGATTTTTTGCACGGCAAGTGAGCTGTGGCGTCAAATCTGTCACGTGACCCTCGCATGTGGAAGCGTAACGCATTGCAGTGTAGTGGTTAGCGTTGTTTGTGTGTGTATGTGTCTGTGTGTGTGTCTGTGTGTGTGTGTATCTGTGTGTATCTGTGTGTGTGTGTGTAAGCGTAACGCATTGTAGTGTAGTGGTTAGCGCTACGCTGCGCTACGAACCCGGCGACCCGAGTTCGATTCCCGCTCACGGCCACCAAACGAGTAACTGCTTGGGTGTCAACATCGCCACTGGGGAGATAAAGGCGGCAGGGCGTGCTGCTGGCCACCAAACCCCTTCGTGTTCTTATAATTACTGGGACTCCTGTTATGTTAGGATTGCCGTTATAATGCTGTAAATGCCTTTATAATGCTGTTAAATTGTTACGATAAATATGGAGGCCTGGTTAACAACGAAGCCTGCCACTTGCATTATTGTGAATAGTTGTTTGTAATTAGATAAGTCGAGCCAGACTTGTGCCCATGTAACTTTAATGCATTCTTGAGAGCAAGGATGAAGATGTATCTCGTCTACAGTTCAGTGTTATGTGCAGCAGCGCTGTACATTTGGGCTGCAGTATGGTGATTACACAAAGTGACCTTATTGAACATAGTAGCTTATTCTCTTGTTGTAGAGCTATTCAGTGCTAATGTAGGTACCTGGTCCATCCAGGACCTATGATTGAGATTCATGTTGTCCAAGACAATGTTATGATGTTGCAGTGTTAATTAATTATATTGATATTGCAAGTATTAACAGATGCTCTATTTTGTGCTGTGTTTTCCCATGAGTTTTATGTCGTTCTATTCGTTAAATACGTTGGAGTCGGATGGTCACCCTGGCTCTGAAGGTTTACTACTCGGACAGTGATGCAACGCAGCGTAGTGAGGCCGAGACAGCCACCACAAATGGATAGCTCAACGAAGTGGCTTATCGTGTAGACATTTATAGCAGCAAAATACTCTAAAACGCATGCTTTTAAAAACGTGGGAGGGAAAAAAAAACAGAGGACCCGGAGAAAAATCCACATGACCACGGGGAGAACTTGCAAACTCCAAATATGCAGCAGGCGTCGGGGTTGGGATGGAACCCCAGACCTCCTGCTGCATACCAGGCAAAGTGAGTTAACATCTCCTAGCCACCGTGGCATCCAAATAGAATCGTCAAGAGGACATTCTGACACTTGAAGAAAACCTGTACCAATCTTGGCCATAACCATTCTTGTACCTCTTGATCTTCCAAACACGTGTAGAGGTGTTACGGGAGGGTGACACGCGGTTGTATAACGGTGGCCACAAACACGTCCGCTACGGTCACCACCCTGGGGGGCTGTGGGGGATGCTGTGATCACTCCCAGCCCCGCCCCTCAGTGAGAGACAGTATAAAAGGTGGGACCCGGGGAGCTGAGAGGCAGTTCAACTCAAGCAAGATGAAGAGCCAGTGAAGAACGAAGATTGACTAGCCAGACCCTGGAACTCCTTTGATTCGCTGACCTTCTGAGGGCCGGGCAAAGCAAGCCAGGGTGCGACACCGGAGCCGCGAGGGCCGATGTCCCTCTGAGGGCCGGACTCGTCTGGCTGGTGATCGGGACCTGCGCCGAAGCTGGGCCAGGTCAGATAGCCTCCCGGGAGAGGAACAGGATAGAGGGAACCAGGGAGCTAGCGTGGGCTAAAGCTCGGGGAACGTTTCCCTCTATAAAGTACGGGTGAAGAGGCCGTTACCTCTTCAAGTATAAGACTCGCAACTGTAACAGAAGTGTCTGTAATAAATACGTGTTGCCTCAAGTAAACAGTCTCCGACGTCAATAAGGCCACTACACATGTAGCCCTCCAGCAGGTCAGATCGTACAAAAGCATTAAATTTGGCATGCGATTGATCGATAAAAAAAATCTAGTCATGTTTAAGATTTTATATAAATGATGATTGAGAAGTTTTTCACGATATAATACGCAAATTATATTATGTGAGCAAATGCGGTAGTGTACCCATACTCTTTGGTTCTATTCGGTAAAGTCACTCCAGCGCTGTCCTCGAGACAGCCTGATCCCTTCACCGAGAAGATGGTTTCAAATTAAGCAACCATTGGAAAGATGTTCTAAATCGAACTAAACATTAAACTAATTTTCAATGGTACAGTATATTTTTCAAGTAGTGGTACCCCGAACTTTCGCAGCTCTTAAAAATTCCCCATTCACACCATCAATAGGTAAACTCCCCCCCCCCCCCCCCGCCAAACGGCATGTTCACCCGCACGTACACCACCTCTATGCTAAGTCGGCCAATCAAATGCTAATTTTTATGCTAATTCCTTTGTCAAGGCACCTTGTTTCCTCGCACACAGCTTAAAGGTCGCGGTCTGAGCGTGGCTGTGTTTCACTCCAGCGCTGTCCTCGAGACAGCCTGATCCCTTCACCCGATGAAGGCCGCTTGTGTTGTGGCCGAAACGTCGTGATTTTTGTTGTTTTATTTTTTACCTACGTGACTTTACCGAATAGAACCAAAGAGTATGGATCCTTGCAGTCACGAAAGCTTTAAATCTAGAAGTGTACCCATGGCTACAACCACGAGAAGGCGAGTAGAGTCAAGGACGTAATGAATGGGAAGAGGAATAGAAAGGGGTAGAGCAGACAAATGGAAAAATGGGATCAGAGACAATACCTTAAAAGGGTCTCTCTATCATCCTCCACGGAGCAGGGTATTTTCACAGGGGGGGGGGGGGGTTGGGGGCAGAGGGTAAGGGATTCAGCAGGGATGGCCACACAAGTCACGTGACTTCCTCAGGGAGGCACGAGCAGATTCTCGATATTTTTGTTTTGCAGCTTAACGGGAGTGCAGGAGCGGGAGCTGCCCTTACCTGCACGTGCTCCTCCTCCTCATCCTCATCATCATCATCTGTCTAGGCCTGCACCTTGGCCGGCAGAGGAGACCGCACCCCTGCTTTGGGCATGCCCGGCCGCCCGTCCCCACCCCACAGGGTCCGGCGGTTGAGCCAGGACGCGTGGCCCCAACTGTGCCAGAAGCGGCGATTGCGCGCGGCCGGGAGGTTCTCCCCGAACGTCTGCATGTTCAAGCGCTGCTCCTCCGCCAACGTCACGCGGCAGTTCCTTACAAGATGGAAGGAAGGGGGTGGCGGGGGTTGTGAGCACAGCTGGTGCATCTTGCCAGTCATCTCAGTCTATCCATGGCCACCTGGGGTCTGTCCCATGACCTCCTGTCAGCGAGCCTTCGACATTCCACGTGTACCTTCACCGAGCAGTGAATGGCGCGTGTTGGTATTGGAGGTGGAGGGAGGAGATAAAGATGCAGTGCTACAACTTCTTGCTCGTGCCACTACTACTGGCAGAAGGGCCACAGTAAGTCACTCATTTTCATTTTGGCAAATATCGCAGTTTTTACACCGGCACACGAAAAATGCCTGCCACTTGTAAAACACGTCACGGGATTCTTTGAATGTTCCCTGCCAAGCAGCAGGCGTACATCCCTACGGTTAATGCGCCCGCAGTATTATAAATCAGAGCAGCCACTAGATTTGCACTGCGAATAGTTTTGTTGTTACGCGACAACGACTCTGTCTGACGCTCCGAGCAGTGGCTCACCCCACACCATGTTGAAGAGTGGCCTGTGGATGACGATAGATCACGGTACTACAGAATTGCTCGAGTGAACGCTAAACCCTACATTAGAGGTTCCCTGCACGGTTCCACACCATCCTGCGTTTTAGAGAAATGTTCGCCTCGTGCCCAGTCAAATAATTACACGGTTCTTCCTCTTATTTTCGAGCTAGGATTTTTTCCCGAATCAAGCGCAACACCGCAATTCACGCGGCGTGCATTTTCTGCGCAGAGTAATTAAAGTTAACGTCACACATTTGCAACGCCCCAAAGTTTCCAGATATTCAGGAGGCGTAGTCAACCGCATACGAGTGAGAAGGCAGCCAGCAACGGCACCAACAATTGCCCGAGATCTGTCATCCTATATTAGGATGGTTAGGCCAACTCCATTTGTGAGTTTTTATTACACGAGGGACGAAACCAAAGAAAACCCACACGTGCAAAGGTGGGAGAGTGAATGGGGGGGGAACAGCAACCCCATCTCCGTACAGATGGAGATGAATCAACATGCTGTACTGCTACCTCCTGGCAAGTCGGTGCACATGGCAGAAGATTGTGAACCACCAACCCGTTGCCTCCTCCAGGCGCTGTATATAAAGGTGTGCCGCCACCACTGCCCGTCCGAGACCATCAACCCCGCGATGAGCAAGGAGACCCAATTAAAAATCACAAGTGGCAGAAATGCCATTACCTGCCGCCATCTTTGGAAATGTTATCAAAGAAGCATCTTGTTTTGTCGTAGAAGCATTTGTCAGGAAACACGGCAGAGCTCCTGCTGGGACCCCTCTGCATGTCTGCAGCACAAAGGGAGACGTCAATGTCAGAAACTAATTAAGGGATGGCCTGGACAATTAAAGACAAAGATCCCCACCCCGTTTCGCTTCAGACTATCGGGGCAAGTGCTCTTAGTGAGTGGCACCCCGAGGCCGGCACGGCACACGAAGGCATGGGTGGGCCTAGCACCATGCCCGGCCACCTTCGTCTCCCTCATGGCGATGGCTGAGGTGAGCCACTAGAGGGGGGCGACGGTACAGATTTGTTGAACCAAACTTTTCAACAGAAGACGCCGTGGCAGCAGTGGCAACAGGCCACCGTGATGGACGCTCGTGGAGATTGCTCCTCGTGAACAAAAATTGTCAAAAGTGCATCATGGTCCTAAAGGGACCAACATTTAGTACAGGGGATTCTCCAAATTTTTTTACCATTTGTTAAAATACAACCATTCACCAATGCGAGTCAGGGCTAAAACAATAAGACCATAAACTTTGCATTATATTTCAGGCCCATCAAGCTATATGGCTCTTTTTCAGAAGAGACCTGGCCACAAATGATAGCTCAACGAAGTGGCTTATTACATGAAAATTTCTGGCAGGTAAACTCCAATAAGTGCACGTTGATTCTAAAATGTGGAGGGAAAAACCGGATGACTCAGAGAAAACAGGTTTTTTTGGGTTAGATCGTGATCCAACCCAAAAAAAAATCTATCATGGATGATATTGGTCGCAAAAGCCTACATGTTCAACCGACCCAGAGAAAAATCCACACTACCACGGGGAGAGAGACGCATGCAAACTCCAAATATACAATGGTCAGGGTTTTGGTGAAACCCACGAGGCAAGGTAGCCCCCCCCCCACAGCCGCCTAATAATTTGTTGGCACAAGAGAGGCGGTGTAAGACAAATCCACTGTTGCACTGCACATCCATGCTTTACATTATCCAAGCTCCACTCTTTCTGCAACCCACACCTGACCAGAGTGATGCGAGGCCCTCACCCACAAGTGCAGTGACAGCCAAGCTTACTAAAGGCTGTCACATGCGGAGAGTTTCTCAAGTTATCATTCCTCACGATTACTCTAACTCGTATGAAAAAAAGGGCCTAATATAAATGTCCACATAAGCTACTTCAGTGGGCTATCATTTGTGCCCAGGTCGCTTCTGAAAAAGCGAATAGCTCAGTGATCTTTACCTGGTAAGACAAGATTAGTTGATTTTTATTTTTTCAAGCGATTTGTTCACTTGACCTATAGACTGTGCACTCCCATCGTGTTTTTGTATTGTATGTTGTTACATTCTGACCCGCCCCTACTGAACATCTGTGGACAAAAAAACCTTTGTAGCGCATCGAAATCCCCCAGTGGACAAATAAATATTCTGATTCTAAAAGGAGACATCCCACAGGAGTGGTGGTGGTGGTGTGAAACCGGGTCCCTCAAAGTGCTCCTTTTAAAAAAAAAGGTCCACCACCTTCTCCTTGCTTGGCCTTGTTGTTCTGGAACTCCTTGTCCAGCTCCTCGCGGTCCAGCTGCGCGTTGCTGCTCTCAAAGTCAAACTCCGCCTGAAACTCATCGCCCAGGTTCAGGGCCTGTGCCTTCTGGGGGCGCCCATGGCGGCTCGAGCCTGCGGGGAGAGAAAAATAAACGGCAGCTCGGTTTGTGATCCACCAACGCCGCGGTGGTGGCGGTGGTGAGATGTTAACTACCTAGCCTGGTACGCAAGAGCTCGTGGGTTCTATCCCGACCCCCTGCTGTATACTTGGAAGTTTGCATGTTCTCCCCAAATGTGAAACATTTCCTGCAAACTTTCTCCATTGGAATAATGCATCAATGAGTACACCCTGCTGCAAAGAAAAAAAAAACCTTTGCTGGACCCTCATGGACAAATGTGAGTCTCTTACTTTCGACCCAGGTTTCCTGGGTAAATATTCACGACCATAAAAAAATAGCGCACCGGCTGCCCGGTATTCAGGTCGGCACCAGCGGCCAAGAATCTGTTATTCTCTCCGCCCTCTGCACATGTTCAAAAGGCCATTGCCAAAGTCCAGGCTAATGCACCGCGTCGCCTTTGAGGCAACGTCAGTGATAAAAGCGGCAAGGGGTTTTTGCCTTCCCACCGCGATTTACAAAGCCCCACGACGAATGCGTCCACAGAAGCTGTGCACGGCGAGCCTTCAATACGCAAACGCATTAATTAGTCTCCGTCGGTACGAGACGCCGACTGTAAATTGGGACACGTTGCTTCAAAACGAACTTACAAATTTGATGAAAAGATGAATGACGGCATGGGGGGGTGGCGGGTGGGGAGGGCGAACACCACCCACACCACCCGTAGCCGTACCTGCAATCTGCTTCACGGGGGCCCTCCGCCACCGCCGCCGCCGCCGGGGCGCCGTCTGCACCCCCCGCTCCACCGTGCCGCTCTTCCTCGCCGGCTGCTGCGGCGTGGCGTTGACGCGCGCAGCGGCCGCGCCGGCCGTGGGCGCTGCCGCACCTGTGGGCGATGGGCACAGCCGGCGCGCACCCACCGGTCGTCTCGGTTCGTCAGCCCGTCGGGGGGGGGCCACGTGGGACCCTCCCGGTGCCTCCCGGCAACGACCGGCGACACTTCATCTGGCACGGGCGCCGTGGTGACGTCACCGTCACTTAGTGGCGAAAGGCGGCTGTTGGTATTATGGGGCGGGGGGGGGGCGTTCTACAACAGCTGTGTGGGCAAGACACAAGTGCCATAGCCCTCCATCACCCATCGTGGTGTCAGTGTCATCATCATAATTACCACCACCACCCCTCCCCCCCTATCGTTCCTCACGACTGCAGGTCACACGTTTGTGTTGTCACCAGGCAGAGGGGCTCACCGCACACAAATCCCAGCGTATCCGAGCGTGCCATTTTTACGTCGCTTCGAGCGAGGCCGTCAAAACCGCACAGATCACTCAGCGGCCAAGCGCAGCGTTTGCCGACCACCCCGTTTGCGTCTCCAACATTTTCGAAAAGGAAACTCCGCTTTCATTTGCTCTTGATGCAACCAATTGCCATAGCCACGTAGGTAAAAAATAAAATAACAAAAATCACGACGTTTCGGCCACAACACAAGCGGCCTTCCTCAGGTGAAGGGACGAGACTGTCTGGAGGACAGCGCTGTCCTCCAGACAGTCTCGTCCCTTCACCTGAGGAAGGCCGCTTGTGTTGTGGCCGAAACGTCGTGATTTTTGTTATTTTATTTTTTACCTACGTGACTTTACCCAATAGAACCAAAGAGTATGGATCCTAGCAGTCACGAAAGCTTTAAATCTAGAATTGCCATAGCACCACCATTCATATATTTTGTCAAAAATGATTATTTCGCACGGGTTTAAAATATAAAAATATTAGCACACGTTTGTCGTTAGGGGCGTTTGCGCGCAACTTTTATGGGTCGGGCAGCATTACATTGGGGGGGTGTTAACATTAATAAACGAGACGGTGGAACGAGGGTCACCGGGGCTCTTGTCCACAAGCCACGGCATACTTCACGACTCGTCCTCCCGCCTGCAGAGGGAGGCCTCGGCTGCACCAACACGGACGGCACGAGGATTCACGACGCTTCCGTTAAAGTCGGTGGCTGTTGTAACCTTTGCCGCAGCCTTGCAACCCCTTTGGTTCCCAATCGTTCACAAACAACGTGCAACGTCAACAGACGTAAGGGGTTTGATGAAACAAAGCGGTTGCACTCGGCCCGCGCGCCCGCACCCAATCTGTATTTCGATGATATACCTTCGAAAGAAATCCCCAGAAAGGGGATCTTGCAACCCCCAAGGGGTGCGTGCACCCCTGGGTTAAGAACCACTGGGCGAGACGATCGTGGGGTAACACAGTAATATCAATTTACAACTCACACCCCTTTCACGTCGTCGCTTTATTATGAACACCGCTAACACAATTTACGTCGGTGACAGCATCGATCCTTTCTCGTATCCCCATCGCCTCTTGCTTCACCTACCCTGTAAACTACCCTGTGGTGTCGCGCGCATGACGACATGTACTGTGCTTTCGATAACAAAATACATTATTGATGTACGGTATTTTGGGAAAAAATTGCTTAAATTTACGTCGCACATTTCAGGAACGCATCACCAATGTAAATTGGGGTACTGCTCTACAATGCCCAATGTTCTGCTACACCATCTGCCACCCAACAAATCAAATTTGTCACCTGGAGCACCACACCAATTTATGTGGTTTCGGCAAACCAGAATGTTGAAAAAAACCCAAAAAAACAATCATATTTCCGTACGACGTCTCATTGGACATTACAAAATCGGGCATCAGGTGTTTGGTAAAAGATGCAGGTGGAGATCCGATCAGAAATCCTCTCTTCTCTCAATACCCAGCCAGTGAACAGGGTGGCCACAACCTCAGCACCACGATAGCACCTCGTTGAGATCAATATAGCAAGTTGCCTCTGGCAACCTCGTTTCTCACAAAACCACAGATTTTAAAAAAGAAAGTCTTCGTTCATCATCGCCATGGAGAAATGCATTGTGCAGGACCTTGAAGCCGCAATTAAATTTTATTGGTGCAAATCTTAATTGGGTTAAGTGGTGGAAGAGGGGTAATTTTAAAACGTTTTTATTTTTTATCAGGCAAGACACCGAGCTATATTTGCACTTTTTCAGAAGCCACTTTACCACAAATTATCGTTGAATAAAGCGGCTTTCTTGATAAACGCCGTTATTGCAAACAACAAAACCCATTTAGCACCACATTTGTATTATCTCGTGGTAGAAGAGTGGCTCTCGCACAACTACGAACCCAACGACGCAAAAAATAACTCGATTCTCAGCCACATCACGAGCGAATTATATCCAAATCGGTGGCTGGCTCCCCACCT